TATATATATATATATATATATTAGATTAAGAAATAAATATTTGTGTTAAAAGAGAATGGTGCCAGTCTCATGTTCGTTAGAATCCTAGATTTTTAGAAAATTGTGAAAGAGTAATTTTGTGGGGGGCATCTTCCTACAACTTGAATATTGAAGATACAGAGTTTTTCCCTCAAATGAAATCTCTTCCTTGAAGACGGATCTTCAAAGAAGTCCAGGTTCAATTATTTGAAAATATTAGTAGTTTTCGTTTAATTCGGTGCGAAATATAGGCAATTTGCTTATTGGCAATGCTTAAAAGAATGGCGCGGGTAACATGTTTGTTGAACTCTCCGAATTTTCGAAAACTGCAAATTTAGAAATAATGCGAGAATGTATGTGCTATTGAAGCACCACTAGTTTTGTTTCGTAAAGGTATTTATTAAATTACAGTAATTGAAGTAAATAATAAACAGTAATTATTGAATCGTATACATTTCCGTAGCTTTTTTTGAGAACTCTCGGTTAATAACCATGAAATCACTTGAATTTTTGTTTGCCAAAAATATGTGAGTTATATACGACTACGTTCTAATTCAATTGATTAAAAGATGCAACTTTTATTTAATAATTAACAAAGAATTGACCCGCCATCTTTTGAAAGTCAGTATGTTCTACCTGATTTTTGATATCTTAGTTTTCGAGTTAACTCGAAGAAACGAAGCTTAGGAAGCCGAGGAAAGTTATTCATAATTTTAGAAATTTGAATGCAAGCAATATTCAAGAAAAATCAAACTTGCGGCGAGACGTCTTTGACACGGATTTAGAAGGCACATTGGGAAATGGAATGTTACACTTTTTCATTAAACTTTGTTCTCAAATGGCGTCAAAACGCCTAAGAGAATGGTGCAGGTCTCGTGTACGTAGAAATCTCTGATTTTTCGAATATTACAAAAGTGCAATTGTTTGCAGGGGCGTCCTCCTACAACAATATTTAAGATAGAACATTTTCCCTCAATGAAAGACAACTTGAAATAAGTTCAATTTTTCGAAAAAATTAGTGGTTTTCGTGTAATTTTGCGCGAAATATAGGCAATATAATT